TTTAGGGTTTTTTGGGCTTTAGGGCTTGGGGCTTAGGGTTGCGTGGATGGGAGTTCAGGGTTTGGGCTCTCAGGCTTGTTCAGGTCTTCAGGTTTTTGGGGTTCTGTTTCAAACTCTGTGGTACAGGCTCAATGAAGCACATGTCGTCCTTGGGGGTCGGGGGCTGGACATTGATACAAAGTAAACCCGAAACCCGAGGCCCTGAACCCCGAAACACTAACGGCAAACCCTAAAGTCTAAGCCCTGCACCCCCAAACCCTAGACCATAAAATGCACATCTGCCCATCCGGCAAGCCCTTCGAAGCCGTTCTTCTCTGATTACATCCCCTCTCTGGCGTCCTTGATCCAATTTATGCAACGCCACACCTAAACCCTCAACTCCAAACCGAAAACCCAGGCTTACCACCGACTACTTGGAGGTTCATGGGTAGATATAAGTAGGGTTATAGGTCGGGTAACTATAGCTATAACCTATATTAAGGGACTTATAACTCCACTTATAACTACCCATGAACCTCCAAGTAAACCCTAAACCCTGGGCCCTAAAACCCTTAAACCCTAAACCCTTAACCCTAAAACCCTAAACCCTTAAACCCCTAACCCCTATACCCTAAATCCAGGGTTACCATCGACTACAATCTTTTGAACTTACGCTCGGCTTTCCACGGCAAGCGGCGAAGGAGCTGCCAGGCACAAACGCCGCGAAGCAGGTGCGAAAACCTCGGCAGGGTCGAGGGTCAGGGCATATGGTTGCAAAAGCCTCGGCAGAATGAAAGGTCTGGATCGCTAGAAGCATAAGGGGATTCCTAAACCGTAGGTCGTCACGGAGCGAAGTAAGAAGACGGGTGAGCGTATCGGATCGAACGCTTAGGGCACTCATGAAGACGGATATCGACCTCCACTGTCAAGAAGAGCATGGTTCCGAAGCGAGTGAAGACCCTCCTTCAAAGCTGCTTTTTATACCCCTTAAGTAAGGAATATACCTTAAATTATGGGGGCCTTAATATTACGATTGAAGGTATATTCAGTATATTCCTTAGTTAAGGAGTACTGGGTTCTCGACTGTCAGTGTGCTAATTTAGAGCACAAGGTCTGACGAATCTTAACGCGCGAGTGGCTGAGGGAGGTCTCATCGCCGAGTTTGTCCATCAAGGCTTGCCGCAGGGGGCCTCACAGTTTCGGCTCCAGGGTTTAGGGTTTTGGGGTTTAGGGTTTAGGGTTTAGGGTTTAGGGTTTAGGGTTCAGGGTTTCGGCTCCAGGGTTGTGACAGGTCGAAAAGTTACCCGGTTGAAGGAAGGTGCGCAACGATGTCTGAACCCGAAACTTGGGGTTCCATGATCATAGCAAGTGGCTCTCTGAACTTCTGGCTCAGCACACCTACTCCCATACCATCAGTTTGACGGATTATTGGTGAAGCTCTCCATGTCGCTATGAGCGTTTTATTCTGTGCTATCATCAGCATCATTATGACCCTCATCATGATAGTTTCTAGTGCCATCATCATCACCGGCATCGACATCGCCGACGCAGCAGGAGCCAACTTTACCAGCATCGCATCGTCATCACAAGTGCCATCTCATGAGCATCAATCGTTACAGCCTCATGGACAACATGATCGCAGTCGTCTGTCAACATGAGATTCATTTTTACTGTCAACGTCAGCCCCATAACCCTAAACCAGGACGCGAGTTCCGCGCCTCGGACGTATGCATTGAAGGCTTCCAGGCCACAGTTGCCCCCTGAGCCCTCCTTCCGTGGCTCTTGCGACAAACGGCCTGGGCCCTCATCGGCAGAGAGCGATCCGCATCTGACTAAGGACCTGTAGCCATGCCAGTCCTCTGAGAGCGAGGTCGTGGATTCACTGGAGTCCGAGACGGCGGAACCTACAACCTCGATGGAAGCACTCGAAACATCATCCTCCGTAAAGAGCTCCGCAATCAGTGCTTCCAAGGGTTGCCGGTCGGATTCGTCGGAGCAACTGCAGTTGCGGATATCGAAGGCTGCAAACTGTCGCAGCATCTCCTCGTGGCCCTGGGCTTTTCGGCCCAGTGCCCACATCGACGGCCCCAGAACAACGATGTAGCCCGGAAGCAAGACGACCACCAGCAGGAGGTTGTTCAAGAAGTGGTTTAGGGCACGATCTGATGCAAGTGGTGAGAGTTTCTGTGGCGATGATGCACACGATGCGAGAAGAGCAGCGATGCAAATGCAACCTTGCAAGATGTCCAGCCACATAGTGGTTACCAGCCAGCGAGGCAGCCACAATGGAACGAAGCAGACATGCTCGCAACTCGAACTTTTCACGAAAGTTGCCAATTCTACTACACACCACAGCCTGTCTAGATAGCTCCCGTCATATAACATCAAAAACTCCGAGGATTGCGTCACGAAGAAAGGAAGGGCCCTGATGCCGGTAGCTTTTTGTGCGGCATCGCTTTGATCAATGCATAGCCTGTCCACCCACAATGTCGGATTGCGGGGCCCGCAAAATCCAATGTGCAGATGATGGCCGAAAAAAAGCACGGCAATGTACACAAAAATAGCCGAAAGCCAACAGAGTGCGACGAAGAGGGTGGTCTCTGCATCAAAGCCAGTTTTTGGGTCGATGCCGCGTAGAGGGAAAAGGGGAAAAGCGAGGACCAAGAGCACGGACAAGGCTTCCAAGGCCTCTCAGCGCGTACGACTAAAATGGTTAAGGGCTCAAGGTTTTACAAGGATTGCTTTGCATGGTAGGGTTGAAAGAAGCTTTTAATTCCGATGTAGAGTTAGAGTTACAGGGCATGAAAAATCAATGCAAAGCTTTGTGTGCTTTCTTGACTCAGAGCCTGGTTTCCGTAAACTATTCCGGAAACCACATACAAACATCATACTACGCTGTTGCTACTGCTACTACTACTACTACTACTACTACTACTACTACGGCTACCACTACC